CATGGTGTTTTTGTACAGACAGCACTTCAGACAGCAGTATGCTGTAGTCGGCAATCGTCCGTTTTTGTATAGAGTGGGACAGGGAGGGGGTGATGCTACTGTAGTCGAACGGTGGGACGGACGTGCAGTTCAGTTTTTGGGCACGCATACGGTGCTGCAGGGATTTTTGGGTGTACCTCTTCGGGCCCTTGGATACTTTTTTCTCGTTATATGTGTGCGTGTTCAATAGATCCTCAGATGGCTCTGGCACTTTCGTGACCACGGGCTGAGAGTCTTTGCTAGATTTTGGCATTTAGCAACTGATATACGGTTTATTGTGAAGACAAAACAACAACAACATCGTGGAAGACCCCTTCAATGTGGAACGATTCCTAGTCAGCGTCGATGTTCACACTGCTGTGCCTAACACAGATGATCTGGATAGATTCGGGTGATTGTCAATTGCAATGATGGCTTTGGTTGGGTGTTCTTCATTATATGTCCACGGACTCATTCTGACAGCACTTCAGACAGCAGCTGCATGCCCCGAGCTTGTGTACCATGCACCATGGTGTTATTATTGCACAGACAGCACTTCAGACAGCAGTACGCTGTAGTCGACACACATTCATTTTGGTTGAATGCGGGATAAGGGGGGTGATGCTGCTGCTGTAGTCGATTTGTAGTGTGTGGGGGTGTAGTTCAGTTGTGAGCATGCAAACGTGCTGCAGGGATTGTAGGTGTACCCCCTCGGGCTTGCGTACCCTTTTCTTGCTAATAGTGTTTGTGTTCTTTACGCCTTCTGATGGCTCTAGCATTTTTGTGACCATGGACCGAGTCTTTGCTAGATTTTGGGATTAGCAACTGACACGAGTTTAATGTGAAGAAAAACAACAACAACAACAACAACAACAACAACAACAACAACAACAACAACAACAGGTAGGTCAGAATTTTTCGAAAACGTGGTGAAAATATTTTTCCTGAGGTATATTGACACGAGAAAACCACAAATTGACACGAGCGCCATCGCACACACACGAAGGCATCAACTCAGTCGGCAAGCTCGCACGTAGCTTCCCGCACACCCACACATACGAACACAACGCTCCCGGGAGTACATCGCGTTAGGGGAACGTCAAGCCACGGTTAGGATCGTGTGCGTTCATCGCGGGATCGAGAACAAAACACGCCGATGTTGGTCTGTCTGGACTCTGGACACGGGTGATGTTTGGGTGCGGTAGCTCGTCAGAGGCCGAAAGAGAAAGGAGGTTGACTCAAGACCTTGTTGCTTAGAGAGTAAGAGACATGCGGTAGGCCACACCATCGCCATGCAGCATGTCCGTCAATACATTCCATCCGCGTACCCCCCGGAGGCCCCGTAGACAGTATACTCTGCCGAGCACCCCAAACAGGTGATAACTACAACGGCAGCTAGTCGGGTGCCCCGCCCGTGAAGGGAGGGTTACAGCAGTTAGTTGTTGGTGGAGACGGTAACTCTGGGCGCACGTGCTAGGGGCGCGAAGCCGCTGGCGGCGGATGGGATTTGGAGAATATTATTTCTCCGGGTGTGTGTGTCTTGTTTTTCCTGATTTGCTTGCTGCCCCCTCCTTGTGGTTGTAATAGTTTTTTTTTTTGCGAAAAGAGTGGCCCGTATAGGGGTACGCTTTTTGTTTTGCAAAAAAAAAGCTGTTTAGAGGGATCGTGGGTGGAGTATGTTCCATCCAACACAATTTGTCCGAAGTTCAGTCCGGCATTTAGGTGCACTTTTCTCTGCACACAGGTGGTTGTTACGAAATCCGAAAGTACCGGCAAACGCCCTGTTTCCAGGAGCATCGATCTACGGAAAGCGATTTTTATTTTTTTGTTCCGCTTCTTCGTTATTTCCAAATATCCCGAATTATTGGCTTGGTTTTTCCTGGGGTGTGTTTTTCTCAGAGCACAATTCTGAGACCGGATTTCGATAGCTCTCGAAAATCCCCAGGTGTTTTTTTTTTCTGATTTCGATTTGAGGAAAAAAAAAAGTTATGGACGAAAAACTAGATCTGGGGTCCCATTCGGCTTGGTTTTTCCTGCGATATTCAACCGTACGATTTTAAAATAGACCGCGGCAATCTATTCCCCTCGAAAATCCCCAGGTGGGTTTTTCTTTCGATTGTCGAAAAAATCTCCCGTTCGCGAGATATTTGTATTTTTGTTTGGCCGCCCAGCAAGCGGGGGGGAGTTTTCCCCCGTGGCTACGCGAGCCCCCACCCAGCTGGTGCGCAAGGCGCAACCCACCCCCACACGCTCTGCAACGGTGCTCAGCACCCAAATTCGTCATGGGTCGGCAGAATAAGCGCCGCCGCACACCTCAAAGGGGAAGCGGCGGCCAATTCCAGCGCCGTGAGTGCTCTGCGTCAGCTGCCGATCCACCAAACCCCCGATGACAGCACCCTCTCTACCATGGAAGTCGATGACGACCAAGACCACGACGAGGACTATCGCGACGAGAGCACTGGTGGCCCTTCTTACCGCACCGGAAACAGCGACCGCGCATGCCATCCGAATTGTCGTCGCCGCCTCCGCCGCCGCCACCAGCATTCGCGCCACTCCCTCTCCCCTTCTGGGTGCCGCCGCCGCCGCCGCCACCCTTGCGGCGGCCGCTGTTGCCGCGGCCCGGCGCTCCTCCCCCACCGCTACCGTCGCTCGCGAGGAGAGCATGCTCCGCCCTCCGCTGGCCCTTCGAGGCCTTCCTCCCCTCCGGAAGNAACCAACGAAGTGGGCGAGTGCAAAGGGTGCGTCAGCGTTGAGCCCTTTTTCGCGTAGGCGTGAGTACAGCAGCTCGAGCGCGTACACGTTCTCGATGGGGTTTCTGCTGCTGTGTGTGGGGACCGTGAAGTTGAACATTTGCTTCATGAGGGCTTGTTTCGAGCCCTGCGATTCCGGATCGTAGATTTTGTCGAGTTCCGCGAGGAGCTCTTTTGCGGTCTCGCATTTGTTCACGATCGCCTTGTCGGCGTCTTTGACGATGGCAGTGGTCACAAAATGAAACGCTTGGAGGCCCCTCTGGACCTCGTCGCTGGTGTATTGGAGGCGGTACAGCTCCGAGCTTGGCACGTTTGGGTTGCCGACAGGTGCATGTCTCTCGTTGTTGTCGATCAATTGGCCGTCCGGTCCTACAGTCTTGGCCGTTTGGAAAAGCGACTTTCTCCACGAGTCATACCCATGGCCTCGACCCTCCCCTTCGAGACGCGGGGCATTGACTATTACTCTCTTCATGTGGCTCTGCTGTAGCCGTCGAGGAAATCTCCATTTACTCGAATCACGGGTATCTCACCTGGGGGGTTTAACCCCCTCGCTTCCCCGTAGACCGGTCCGATGCCCGGGCCCACTCCGGCTGGTCCAACAGGGTTCGCTCCCGATCTTCTGGCCCAGCCGCCTTCCAGCAGCTGCCGTGGTCCTTGCCCACTATCTCTCGCTTGCTGCTAGAGAAGTCCCCCGCCACCGCCGAGCGGTAGCGGAGGCACTTGTTGGCCTCCCGTGGCGGCAAACCAGCCGCCACTACTAGCTGCATCCACCACGACGCTGCCAGGCTCCTTCTTCACCGACTCCTCCACCAGGGCCGCCAGTTGCGAAATCTGCCGATGCATATTTGAAAGCTTTGCATCGCGGCCCTCCTCCATCGGCGAGCGGATCTGTGCTCCGCTCGCATCAGTGGGTACCTCATCTCCGGCAGAGCTCATCCCGATGTGGCTTCCTTCGAGGGGAAAAAACTCTAGAGTGTTTTCGGCCTACGCCACTTATTTATCGGGTGAGACTGTTTCGGTGATGTATTAACTTCACGAGTAGTAGACGACCGTCCTTGTATTTTTTTGTGATGTATAAACTACGAGAGGTAGACGACCGTCCTGCACACGGACGAAAGAGGGAGTGCTCAGAGAGCGGCTCCCACAGCAAGTAGGGGCCCCGTGAATCATCGCGGTGCCCCCTACCAAACGGAAATCTTACTAGTCTGCGTGACACCAAAACATCCGGCACATGTATCCAACACCAATTTTCGCAGACCCACGAACACCCTCTCTCTTTCCGCTCCTACCAACCCTCTCCCTCGCTTTGCTTCTCCTATTCTTACAAACATTGGAGCAGGGGGGCCATCTGTATCAACGGTTGTGTGCGCTCGAACGACTCTACAGGAACGCACTACCTGGACGAGGCATTCGATATACAACACCCTATATCGGCGTCAAGATAATGAAAATTTCGGTCGAAACGAAGGCCCTCCGTTGCCCTGGGCATCGCGAGTCAGATATGCACCGACACGGGGAGAGCAAATGACAAAAAACATAGCCAAAACTTAGGGGCTGCTCTCACGTTGACAGACCTACGTTCCACCCCGACTAAGTGACACCACTCTTACAAGAGCAGGCACGGCAACAGGACAACAACGTTCCTCCAACGGAACTGTGTACGCCTAAAAACACGCAAAGAAGTATTGAGCTACATTTGCCCCGCAAGCCCAATCGAACCTTTTGTAGCTTCGGACTACGGATGTCCTCGCGACCTCAGTGGTCGTGGTCGTGACCCTCCCCTTCGCAGTACTGATTGAAGATGAGAGCGCCGCCGGTCAGGGCTGCGCCGTGCAAGAACGACCCGAGCTTCTTCACTTGATTGCACGTCACGGCGCCCCCGGCCCTGCCGCTTTCGACCTTGGTCACCTCGAGAACTCCAGGCAGCAGCCCCGTTGGGGCGATGAAGATGAAGGACCCGGAACCCAACAGGATAGTCACCCAGACGTCGGCGTCGCTGAGTTTGCTCCTTAGAGAAATGATGACAACCGCGCCCAGCACGCAAGTCGGGGCGGACAAGAAGTTGAACCGGAAAGCCTGTGTGACCACGAAGCAGCAATGGCGACGACGGCAAGGATTAGTGAATTTATCATTTTGCTTGTGCCCTGGCAATGTGGATTCTCGAAAGATCCACGTGTGAGGCAGGTTGGCCTTGGTGAAGCCTCAACAACATGTATGTACTGAGTCGTGGAATGCATAGCAGCAGCGGCGGGAGCAACACTCGTCGACCAAACAAGGATTGATGAACCTTGTATGCATATCGAGAGTCTTTGTTTTCCCCACCACACCTAGCATCGAATCCAACCAGCCGCACGCGGCCCCATCGTAACTTGATGCACAAAGAATACAAAGCAATAGTCTAGGGGTGAGCGCACCTGCTTGAGCTCATGCCCCCGGCGAGGAACGCCATGAAGTCGGCCAGCTCCTGGGGGATGTCGTGCAGTAGACGCCGTGATGGTCCCGCCCATTGACGACCCGCAGGTCAGGAACGCCGCTCAGATGGTCACGCCGTCCGCGAAGTTGCGCACAAGCTCGCCGGCGATCACGTTCCAGCACACCAGCTGCAGGCCCTTCAGGTCGAACAGCGATCTCCCCTGCCTCTCGGAGACCAAGGCCCACAGGTTTCCTGGGGTCACCTTGCCCTTGAGCGCGAGCGGCGCCGTACCCGCTGGTGCTGGCCCGTCTCCGACGGCCGCCGTCGCCGCCTGCTTGGTCTCGGTGTGGTCGTGGCCATGGCCGTGGCCGTGACCGGACTCCATGAGGGCGTGGATGAGGATGCTGAACCCGGTTCTGTCGAGGATGGCGGGGCCAGCCCATAGCCCAGCATCATGGAGGTGGTCGTGCTTCGCCACGATGCCCTCGAGCGACTCGGGGATGATGTGCAACAAGAAGGTGGTGAGGAGCGCGTCGGACGCGAAGGTGAAAGTGTGCGAGAGGCCAATGGCGTGTGCCACCTTCGTTGACGTCTTCCCCTTCCAAGTAAAGGACATAAACGAACACACTAGTGTCAGTTCCTCGAGGGAGAGTTCATTAGTAATGTCAGGTCGCAAAGATGGGGGTGATTCCTCCAGCGACTCTGCGGCGGAAGACAGAAAGAGGTCAAGAGTAGGGCTCGTGGCCCTGAGGACGCAAGATATCTCGCTGACGGATCAGATGAGCCAGCTAGTGTCGCTAGTGGAAGATACCATGAAGGCAAGCAAGAACTAGGAGCCAGCTGGCACCATGGAGGGTGCCGCTGATCGCGGCGATGCTAGGGAGAGCGCCGCCGCGGAGTCCACAAACGCCAAGGAGGGCACCGTGGACCGGGAGTGCACAGGACGGGAGGTACCTGCGCGAACCTGTTCGAGAGTCTGGCCCGTCAGGGCGACACAGCGGCGAAGCAGGGGGCTTTGTCCCCCAAGTGGTGGGAGTAGCCGCTGCTCACAACCAATATTAAAGTAGTGCCATGGGAGATGGTGGTGTTGCTGTTGGCTTTTGATACGAGCCACAACCCCAGCGACGGGGTACCAAAGTGTGCGGTACACTTCTCCTCCGTTCAGAGGGAAATCGAAAGATTTCAACGAATGGCTAAATGATTTCCGCATGGCAGCTAATGGCGCAAACCTGTTGGAACACTTTGAAGAGAGCGGGAGCTTGGAGATCCCCGTCAACAGCGGAAAGAGCAAGTTTTCGCTGTCACAGCAGTACCAGAGCGAATAAGTAGAGCTCGCATTCCACGCGTGGAACTTCCTGTCTCACGCGTTGAAAGAAAAATATCGGAAAATCATGAAGAGGGCAGAGACGCCCCAGGGAGCTCTTCGTGAGCTCAAGACCATACACGACCCTGAATCATCTGTACAGCCGTCAGAGGACCTCAAGTCCCTGACGTCGACCAACATCTCTAGAGGTGAAAACCCCCA